GAGAGATGGTAGAAGCTAGAAGAGTTTGATGTGCATGATTTAAAAGTAGCAGAACTTGAGATTGAAAAATTCTCAGCCTATTCATATTGAAAAAAATATAAGAGCATATATACTAGAGAGAATTAAATGTGCTGAATAATCATTCTTTAGATGTTGTTAACAGTAAGTTTGAGCTGGCAGACAGAAGATCAGAGAACTTATTGATAAATTATAGAAATTACGCAGTATAAAAAAGAGAGAGGAAAAAAATGAAGAATAATGAACGCGGCGGCGGCGAGAGGAGAGAGCACGGCCGCGGAGAGCGGCTGAAATGCTTGTTCTCCAGGCCGGCGCGCGGACTCTGACGCGGTTCGCCAAGCCCTGTCCTCCGACGGCTGGCCGGGCCTCGAGCACTCGGCCGCTGTTCACTGCTGCTCCCTCGCGCAGAGCCAGCGCCAGGTCTATCCATACTGATGGAAACGTAACTGGAAGTGACTCTGATGATAAAATCAAGAACCACAGGCAAGATCATGCAGTAGGAAACCTTGCTTCAAATGAAGCTTCCCTTTACAACTGTTTCAGAGAATGAATTAATAATTTCCTGAGAAATCACTAAATCTACTCTGAGAGGTTTTAGAAATAAACAGGTTATTCGTATAATTGGCCTTAACTGAGGTGAGAGTGAAGAGACTAGAGCCATCTCTGGAAAACATCATTACCCATTCCTGTGGAAGCTGCCTCTGGAGCAATAGATTTGACCATATCTGTTTTGAGAATTCATTATGAGCAAAGAAGTCTCCAGGTGTGAAGTTTTTCAACATGAGTGGCCTCGGGACAGTTCATCCGACCCTGCTAACCCAGACTCACATAAGAGAAAAGGATCACCATGTGACACATTGGCATCAAGCACTGAAAAGAGGCGCAGGGAGCAAGAAAATAAAATTTAGAAGAGCTAGCTGAGTTATTGTCTGCCAACATTAGTGACACTGACAGCTTGAGTGTAAAACCAGACAAATGCAAGATTTTGAAGAAAACGTCGATCAGATACAGCTGATGAAGAGAATGGAACAAGAGAAATCAACAACTGATGACGATGTACAGAAACCAGACATCTCATCAAGTAGTCAAGGAGTGATAGAAAGGAATCCTGGACCTCTTCTTTTAGAGGCTTTGGATGGATTTTCTTTGTTGTGAACTGTAAAAGGGAGAATTGTATTTGTGTCAGAGAATGTAACCAGCTACTTGGGTTACAATCAGGAGGAATTAATGAATACCAGCGTCTACAGCATACTACATGTGGGGGATCATGCAGAATTTGTGAAGAATCTGCTACCAAAATCACTAGTAAATGGAGTTCCTTGGCCTCAAGAAGCAACACGACGAAATAGCCATACCTTTAACTGCAGGATGCTAATTCACCCTCCAGATGAGCCAGGTACCGAGAACCAAGAAGCTTGCCAGCGGTATGAAGTAATGCAGTGTTTCGCTGTGTCACAGCCAAAATCAATTCAAGAGGATGGAGAAGATTTCCAGTCATGTTTGATATGTATTGCACGACGATTACCTCGGCCTCCAGCTATTACGGGTGTAGAATCCTTTATGACCAAGCAAGATATTACAGGTAAAATCATCTCTATTGATACTAGTTCCCTGAGAGCTGCTGGCAGAACTGGCTGGGAAGATTTAGTGAGGAAGTGCATTTATACTTTCTTCCAACCTCAGGGCAGAGAGCCATCTTATGCCAGGCAACTATTTCAAGAAGTGATGACTCGTGGCACTGCCTCCAGCCCATCCTATAGATTCATATTGAATGATGGGACAATGCTTAGCGCCCACACCAAGTGTAAACTTTGCTACCCTCAAAGTCCAGACATGCAACCTTTCATCATGGGAATTCATATCATCGACAGGGAACACAGTGGGCTTTCTCCTCATGTTGACACTAATTCTGGAATGTCAATTCCCCGAGTAAACCCCTCAGTCAATCCTAGTATCTCTCCAGCTCATGGTGTGGCTCGTTCATCCACATTGCCACCATCCAACAGCAACATGGTGTCCACCAGAGTAAACCGACAACCGAGCTCAGACCTTCATAGCAGCACTCATAGTAATTCTAGCAACAGCCAAGGGAGTTTTGGATGCTCACCTGGAAATCAGATTGTAGCCAATGTTGCCTTAAACCAAGGACAGGCCAGTTCCCAGAGCAGTAATCCCTCTTTAAATCTCAATAATTCTCCTATGGAAGGTACAGGAATATCACTAGCACAGTTCATGTCTCCAAGGAGACAGGTTACTTCTGGATTGGCAACAAGGCCCAGGATGCCAAATAGTTCATTCCCTCCTAATATTTCGACATTAAACTCCCCTGTTGGCATGACAAGTAGTGCCTGTAATAATAGTAACCGATCTTATTCAAATATCCCAGTAACATCTTTACAGGGTATGAATGAAGGAACCAATAACTCTGTTGGCTTCTCTGCCAGTTCTCCAGTCCTCAGGCAGATCAGCTCACAGAATTCACCAAGCAGATTAAATATACAACCATGCACTCATTGCATTGTTCCAAAAAAAAATAAAAATAAAAAAAATAAATAAATAAATATACAACCAGCAAAAGCTGAGTCCAAAGATAACAAAGAGATTGCAACCATTTTAAATGAAATGATTCAATCTGACAACAGCTCTAGTGATGGCAAACCTCTAGATTCAGGGCTTGTGCATAACAATGACAGACTGTCAGATGGAGACAGTAAATACTCTCAAACCAGTCACAAACTAGTGCAGCTTTTGACAACAACTGCCAAACAGCAGTTACGACATGCTGATATAGACACAAGTTGCAAAGATGTGCTGTCTTGCACAGGCACTTCCAACTCTGCCTCTGCTAACTCTTCAGGGGGTTCTTGCCCCTCATCCCATAGCTCACTGACAGAGAGGCACAAAATTCTGCACCGATTCTTACAGGAGGGTAGCCCCTCAGATATCACCACTTTGTCTGTTGAGCCTGATAAAAAGGACAGTGCATCTACTTCTGTGTCAGTAACTGGACAGGCACAAGGCAACTCCAGTATAAAACTAGAACTGGATTCTTCAAAGAAAAAAGAATCAAAGGACCATCAGCTCCTACGCTACCTTTTAGATAAAGATGAGAAAGATTTAAGATCAACTCCAAACCTGAGCCTGGATGATGTAAAGGTGAAAGTGGAAAAGAAAGAGCAGATGGATCCTTGTAACACAAACCCAAACCCAATGACCAAACCTGCTCCTGAGGAAATTAAACTGGAGTCCCAGAGCCAGTTTACAGCTGACCTTGACCAGTTTGAGCAGTTACTGCCCACGCTGGAGAAGGCAGCACAGTTGCCAGGCTTATGTGAGACAGACAGGATGGATGGTGCGGTTGAAAGGCCCAAACTAGCCTAAAGGCCCAAACTAGCCTAAAGGCCCAAACTAGCCTAAAGGCCCAAACTAGCCTAACCAGCTTTTCGCTTCTGTAACTATGCTTGCTCTTAGGTAATTAAGAC